TGTATATATATATATAAAGCAGCATATTGTGATGCTTCCGATTTTTTTAAAATATTTATTTCATGTAGAAAAATTGACTTTGTATCCTCCTCATCATGCACATATTTGAATCAATATACCCTTATAATTTTACATGTTTAGTATCTCTGGAAAAAAAAATGGAGATAAGTGCATTTTATGTTTAAGGGATAGTTTATTTGATGCGGTGACATTTTGAAAACGTATATGATCTGTTTGGGTAAATTGTGTTTTGACAGCTTCTGCGTTTTGAAACGTTGAAAACTGTGTTTTTACATCGCACCTATCTAGATGCGGTGGCAGCGCTCTGGCTTTTCCAAAAAAATAAAAATAAAAAATAAAAATTTGTAATTAATAACCACCACATCTAGTTTATCAGCAGATTATTTTTAATCAGTTTATAAATAGATTATTCAATAAGTTATAGCTGCCTCAAACAGACCCCAAATCTTAACTAATAGCTTTAATAAAAGAGAGACGGCCGATGCGATCATTTAAATTAGTGCGGGTTCTTACATGAATTGCAGGACGGGCCATATTACTTAAGAATCCACACCCTCATTTAAGGAATGGGATAAACATAAAATTAGGGGCATCTACATACATACCATCCAATTGCTACGTATTTACATCTAACACTGAAACTCCAAATCTTCTATATCACTTAAAACATATCACTATTTAACTTATAAAAGTGAAGTACACATTTTCATTCTTAGGTCATGTGGCATACATGTAAAAATTGAAGTTTAGGTGTTAGATGTGTAAATTCATAAGAATGGGGTGGTGTGTAATGAAAATCTTTCATGAAGTTTAGCATGAACGTTGCCACTTAAGAGTGAAATTTTGAGAACCACTTGTTGTATTTATGGTTTCTATTGTAATTAGATATAATTTGGTCTATTGTAAATAGATGTAATTTTGAGAACCACATGATATATTTCTCCTGCATAAAAGAGTTCATGAGAGAAGTTTGGTGAAGTGCAAAGTTATAGCCCATACCTTTTTTTATTTTTCCAAATTCGGTGCTGAAATCCCCCTTTGTGTGTACCTAGGCGAATAAACTTGCTGTCGAACCATAATAATCTTTTGTGTTTGAATGTTGTTGTGTGAATTTCTTCGTTTTGGCATTGTGTTTGAATCGAAATTGGTATCACAACTATGTAAATTTTTTGTGTTGATTGTTGTTGTGTGAATTTCTTTCTTTTCACATTGTTTTCACATAACAATTGGTATCAAAACTTCGTGTTCATGATTAGAGCGTGGTTTAGCTTCGACAACAACAATTTCGACATGTGTTGCCCGTATTTTTTACAGAAGGTGGTCTGTCGTGCTTTGTAAGAGATGTTTCACAATAGACTGGCGAAAGACCAGCGACTTGGAAGAGAAGGATCGACGTTTTGTTGAGAAATTAGGGCAAAGAAGAAACAGGAATCGACACAAATCCAGAAGAACACATAGAGATTTACGATGTTCGGCAAAGATGCCTACGTCATCGGGAGCAGAGCGACAACTTCATTTTCAATCTTCAGAAAAGAGTACATAATACAAGTTTCAGAATCTCACCTAGGGTTACAAACATGACATATATATAACCTTATAGTATAATATGTAACTACTTAAATTACCTCTGTTCCAAACCGTGGTATGTTGCCCCCACACTCCCAACCCACATAATGAAACTCCCCGATTGGATAGATACTTCCGCTCCACTCCGCTCGTGGGCTCTGCTCCGATCCAGCATCTGTCCTATTTATGATATATGAGTCATACCTAACTCGTTTGATTCTTGTTACGGCGGTGCTGGAGGCCATAAACAGTGGTTCCGTCTACCACACAAGATTGTAGTGATGGACGTTGATGGATCGGTGAAGTTTGGGCAGGGAGAGGGAGCACTTCGGCGGAAGGACATCTATGTTGAATATATTTTACTGGAAACACATAATAAAACTGTTCCTAGACATAATAATATTGTTCCTAGTTGGGATATCCACTAAATTGGTTTGAATAAATCAAAGTGTTGTGATGGTTACGAAGAAATTTAATCTCCAAGTATTTATCTATTAAAACATGTAGATTCCTCAAGTAATCCGTCGAGAGGAAAAACGTCACCAAATACACTTAATAATAAAGGCATTTCCAGATCTCATGCAAGCAGAGGTTTCTAAAACATATAGCTCATAGCATCTGTAATATGAATAAACACAATTTAAATATTGAGGAGAAGCATTGCTGAGAAAATACTTTCAACTACACTAATAAATGCTCAAAAATATATGAAAAACCATTCATTCATTTCTTCAAAGCCCAACAAAAATCAGTGCAAGATCTATCGTATCTGCTCTTGTGAAATTGAGAGACTATGTTGAGACTAAAGAAAGAAATGTAACACATTGTATTTATCCTAAACCATTCGCTGAAGTCCAATATGAAAGATAAAACCATTACTTGAACTAATCTCATCCAAACTCCAAAACGAACATTCTCGAGACACTCGATCTTTGAAATTTTTAGAAACAAAAGTCACTATTTTAATTAATAATTTTCCTTAAAGATGGTCTCTTGTTAGATTTAATAAACAAAAAAGTCTTGCCCTTATAGTGGACATTTAAGTGTCTTAAAAATCTCAGAATTGAGTGATATTGAGCTAATTGGATTCGTCTTATCGAGATGCTTGATTCAACTATAGGCAAGTTAGATTTGGAGATCTTTTGAGTCCCCCAATGATGAATTGAAAGCTTTCAAACTTGGTTTAACTGCATGATTTGGGCATGATTAACTCGAATTGGACCAATTTTGATATTATTTGTGTCCATCCCATCGAGCAGTCCAATTTTATTGTCAATTTGTTGAAATCGGAGTTTTGGATGTCTTTTAATTGAAATTTGAATTTTTCTTGCTTAAAAAATTATCCTGAGATACATGTTGAGCATCGAGATTTGCGTTAGATGATGAAAAATTATTGATGATACATCAAAGATAAAAAAAAATATTATAAGTTATAACTCTAAAAACTTATTGTTTTTCTTTGTAGGCTTTCCCCTCATCATGTATAATAATAATTCTCATCATCTCCTTAACAAAATGAACAATCTCTTGAAGTTCAAACTCATTTGAAATTTATTAATTTTACCAATTACTCAAATTCAAATAGCATAAGCAAGATTATGAAATATTTTTTGGCATATAAAAAATGTTATTCATATAAGCTCTAAATAACTCTATATATTATGTAAGCCCCTAACCGTTAAATTATCCAAACAAATCAGTATAAACATAACAACTTACAAATGAGCTTCATCTGAAGGTAAAATTAGAAACTTTTATTCAGATATAATCCTATGAGAATTGTTTTGATAGTAGGGTTACATCAATCCCATAATCTTCTATGACAAGGTGAATAACTCATAAGGCAATATTTTGACATCATACAATGCATACAAATTGTAGATGAGAAACAAAAAAAATGATGCATTGTTCAGAAATCTAATTAATCTCATGCGTCGATAACTTTTTTCGGAGTGTTTGCATACTTCCATGTGATTGATTCTCCGAAAGCCCAAGTTTTCGAACCCGCAACCTCTTGAATAGCGACAGCATTTGAAAGCTCTTCCAAATCATCCTTTGTTAGCTTTACATTTATAGAGCCAATATTAATGTTCAAATTTTTGCTCTTTGTTGTTCCTAAAAGCAACATGAGACACATAATAAGAAATTCTAGCGCAATAAATATACAATCACCAACCCCAAATACTAAAGAAATGGTTGAGGATGAAGATGAGAAAAACATTATTATAGTACCAAAATTATAACAAGTGATGATATAAAAATGAGAATATTGATTATATGAAAGACAATTTCTTATTTTACAATACAAAAAATCTTCTAAAAATATATATATTTTATAATATGAAATGATAAATGCAATATTTGACAAGAATTTGTTAGACTTGATGGACTTAATCGTCAAAATTAAGATATTGATTTGATTATTATATTGGCTTCACATTGTGTCTTTAGTGTTTTTATTAAAAAGCAAAAGAAGTTGTAAGTGTTTTATATGGAAGCTCACCTGGAATTGGAACAACATCATTCCCTTGATGAAGTAGCCAAGCCAAAGCTAACTGAGCTGTTGTGCATTTGTGCTTTGCAGCTAATTTTTCTAACTTGAAGAATAGTATCTTATTTTTCTCTAGGTTTTCTTCACTGAATCTTGGATGTGATGCCTGCCATGGAAACATCTTCAATAATGTGTTGAACACAAAGCTAGCAATTATAATTTTTCATTTAATTGAGTGTCACGTTGTTAAAGTCAATCAAAATAATACCAGTGAACTATATGTAGGCACACTTTCATGAACTGCTTTACCACCAAAAAAACCACGACCAATAGGACTATATGCAACTATTCCAATTCCAAGCTCTCTACAAGATAGCAATAAACAAGGTTATTTAAAAACTAGACGCACATTAGTCAAATAGCAAGATTGGAATGCAAATATAAAAAAATAAGGCTGAAAAGATGCACAAATATTTTCTGCTTTATGTTTCTTTGTTCCTACTCATTAGTCTTTGCCTCGAAAAGGTGCCATTATTTTCAAGGATTGTTTACTTTCTAAAGATGGTTCTACATTCCTCAACTAATCACAATAGTCTAGGTAACACAGAATTGCAACTTCATTATACTAGTAGGGATAAAATAGAATGATTTTTAAGCTGCTTGGTCAATCTTTTCCTCATCTAATCATGATAAGCCAATCTTGAATTATTTAGTTTAATGATTACTTCTAAAGACTAGATCAATTAACTAGTCAAATGAAATATTTTTCTTTTTTTTCTACAAGTCAAGATGCTTATAAAAATAAATATACAATATACCTTTCTGGAGTTATGCTACTTGTTCAAAAATAGAAAGAGTTAAAATTTAATGAACTCTAGATATTAATTTCCATTAATTATTTTTTCAGCAGTAGAAACTTAAGATATGAAAAACAGATAAGAATCAAAATTTTAAGTTCTAACAATTAAAGTTTATAAGAAAAATTAAAATAGTGAATGTAGATTGTTAAGTAACAATAATTTGAGGAATAACTAAATTTGCCAAACCTGCAAAGTGGGACTATCTCTTCCTCCACATCTCTTGTCCAAAGTGACCACTCTATTTGCAATGCACTAATTGGATGAACAGCATGTGCTCGCCTGACAGTATCAACACTTGCTTCTGATAGCCCAAGATACTTCACCTTACCCTCTTCAACTAATTTCTTAAGCTCCCCAATCTATAACAATAATAAACCTTAATCTAAGAACACCAACAAAAATTAACAAATAACACTTATCAAAAAAGTTACTGGTTAATGAGTAATCTCACTGTTTCTTCAATTGGCACATTTTGATCAATCCGATGTTGATAATACAAATCAATGTAATCCAATCCAAGCCTCTTGAGGCTTCCTTCCAAGCAAGCTCTCACATATTCCGGCTTACCATTTACAACAGGACCACCTTCTTTATGAAGATCTACAATCCCAAACTTTGTGGCCAATTGAATCTTTTCTCGTGGAAGCTGCTTTAGCGCCTAGAAGCATTTGTTTTCTTGAATAATAATGATATACAGAGTAACAAATTTTCTCCTCTTCAAATCTTTCATGCATCCTTACTAAGGTAGAAGTAGATTAAGAAAGACATAAGAAGAGAAGGGGGATTGATACAGACCTTGCCAACCAGAATTTCATTAGTATGAGGTCCATAGACATCAGAGGTGTCAAAAAAGCTGATGCCATTGTTAAATGCTTCCATGATGATGGATATGCCCACTTCTTCAGAAACAGGGGAATTATACATTCCAGTGAGACCCATACACCCAAAACCTAATTTGGATACCTAAATAAGAAGCAGAGAACATTCAGTAAAGACATTATGGATGGCAAGATCTTACAAAATGAAGCTTAGAGTGGTGCTCTCTTTATCAAACAAGCAATGTTTTCCTTAAAAAAAAGTTAAAAAAAGTACAAAATTGAAGACATTATTATCTGCAAATAGTTTAGCTGATTAAGAGCTGCCATGTTTGCAACAGAAATTAAAGCATCAATAACAAATTTCAAATTAAAAAAAAAAAAGAAAATTCAAAGAATGAGCTTTCTACCTCTAATCCCTGGGATCCTAGCTGTACTCTGGGCATCAAAACTTGGGTTTGCTCTTCCATTACTTCTTTATCAGAAGCCTCTGCAGACAAAAATCGAATTTTTTCTTCTCGCCTGTATTTGAAGCTTGCTACCCAGGCTGTGCTGAAGATAAGCTGAACTGGCGCATGGGTACTTTCAATTTAAAGAGTCCAAATCTGATCTGATAACCATCGTGAGGTTACTCTCCACATGTGTGAGGTAAGCCAATACATCATCTAATTCAGTATATTAAAGTTTTATCGTTATCTAATATATAGATGCCATGTTCACTTTCTATTTTAGGGAAAATTACATACATAGCACCCAAATCTCATGGATTTATTTTCTCACACTTTTATACACATAGCATTTTTGGAAAAAAAGTTGAATTTGACAATTAAAATATGATGATGAGCATTGTTTTTCATATGATTTTGTAATTATGAAAGTTTAGGTGTGAGATAGGTAAATATGAAAGTTTTGGGTGGTATGCAAGTAAACGGCCTTTATTTTATAAATAACATAATTTTACATAAGTATCATGTAATTCCTATGTATGTACATATGTCACACATAAACTTTCACAGTTACATACACAATGCATTGATGCTTTAAATTTATGCATGAAAATATATATTTCACTTTTAAAATTAGTAATAGTGATATTTTTTATGTGATATTAAAGACTCGAGTATGTGTTTAAATATGTAATTTTGGTTGTGAGATACTAAATTACGTAAAAATTGAATTATATATATTAAATTCAATTACTTTCAAAGCAACCGATAGAATTCCAATTTCGCTAACAATCAAAATACAAATTGAATTTTAAGGTTATATGAATATGAGTGAACACTTATTTCCATGCATCTAGTAAGGACAAAATGGTATATAATATTTTAGTAACTTGATGCATGCAACATTCCCTCATGTTTATGCCCTTATATATAACAATCTTAAGAGCACAACCATCTACTTAATCCGTCCAGTTTGGTCCAGTTTTCACTATATAAACCCAAATTTTAAATAAGTTAGAGTGGCTAATGAATCTTCAATAACCAATTATTTTAAATAGAGCTTCTCCTCGAGTTTCTCTCCATATGTTCATTATATACTTTTTTTCTTCTTTCCAATTATGAACCTTTCTTTGAATTTGAATTTTCTCCATTTTGTTTTTTTCTTTTTGACATCCCTTTTTTATATTTATCATAGAGGATTACTATATCCGGATTAGCTGTTAAGATATTTTGATTTCCAATCTCTCTTCATAAATTAAATTTCATTACACCTCTAACCTAATTCAATACTTTGTGACTTATACGCATCATTTGTTATAAAAGTATATGGGCAGAAACTGTCAATCAAGATTGTGTAATTGGAAGCGGACCCTTCTTGTGGCTATGATTTGAATTTCTGGACGATAATGACAAAAGATTTCTTGCTTTTCTTTGCTCAAATCAAGTTATGGTTCTGGAGTTGTCTCTGAGGCTTCGACATTCTCGGCTTCAGAACCTTCGGCTTCGACACTCACGGCTTGAAGATTTTATTGTGTTGGCAGTGTTATCAGTTTTTTGTTGACAAATTGATACTTCATAATCAGTCATCATCAATTTAAGGGGGGGTTGTCAATCAGGAAGGACGGAAGTTAGATAGCTAAATTAAGAGTTTTATATAATTAGGAGCTTCCTTATTTAAACTATTTCCAATATCTTTATTATAATTTATTTCTTTTTTAGTTGAATATTTAGATTAGGAATATATATTATTAAGTTAGCTAAAATAGATTATACAAAATATTTTATAGCTATAATAGTTTGTAAGATTATTATTTAATGGAATGAAAACAAAGTGAAAAGGCATTGAGCCTATTTTTCTCAAAACTTTAACAGAAACACGAGGGAATGTTACAAGCATCAAGTGACTACAATATTCAACATGAATGACTAAACACGTGAAAGAGTAAAGCAGGTGTGGGAATATAATCTGCTAAAACGAGTAAGCACATGAATAATAAAAGCAGTAGCAAACGTCTTAAATCACAACTATAAATGAGAACATGAAAATAAAAGCTTATAGATAAAGTATAACTCAACCACATAATAGTTCTGCACCAATAATGACATGAACACATCAAAGATTTCATAGCCAACATAAATAACAACCACATAAGTGTTCAAAACAAAATACAACAACTACAAAACCATTAGGATCAAAAGCACAAATGGGAACAACTAAAATCATCAGAACTACTCATTGTCGGTTGAAATTATGGATTTTGAAAAGAAAAATGATTTTTTGATTTAATTATATATATATATATATTACATTTATATATATATAATTTTGATTTGAAAAACAATATTTTTAATTTTTAAAAATATGAGACTAGCAAGATTTCATGCATTTAATAGTTTAAACAGTTGAACACAACACTATAAGCATACACCGTCCTGAGAGATAAATATACTACTTGACAATGGACTCGATCATATCAACTAAAGAAACTTATGACATCCGTTTGTTCTGTGAACCTTTTATGCATGACTGACAAATTCCTCTACCAAATATAAAGATTAGGAAGAGTTTATATTAACTGGGTTCTTAAGTTCCCTATAGATGCAAACTCCTATATTTAATTACATCATAAATGACCAAAGTCACTTAAGAAAACTCTCGATAATGGTCAGAGGTATTTGTCTTCAAGATTTCAACGTTTAGGTTTTCAAGGTTGGACATGGGGAAAATCAAGTGGGAAATGACCAAATAAGAACAATTATTTTCAAAGTTCGAAGGAATGAGAAGTAGAGGATGTCACAGATTTTGAGGAGAACCTCGGTGACTTCCTAAACTATCTTATGGTTTGGCTTCAGTTTTGAAAGTGATATTATCTGATGTTTCTATTCTATTGATTTATTATTTAGGGTTTACATCTGCACGATATTCGATCAAGCAAATAGCTTGGAAGATAAGATGACTTACATCAGATCGAACGACAACCTTGAAATCCTAAAAGAGTTAGGACTTATATTAGATAACATAATTGTGCAAAAGTCTAAGGAAAAGATGACGATTTATATCTTACCTGGCGGACATTCTCGAAATCTTATGTATTATGTTATTGATGATTAAGTAAATTTTAGCTGAAGTTGACTTGTTTTGTTGTTGCAGATCGTCGATCACCTCCACTTGTAGCTCGCTCCAAGCTCCACGTCAAAGTGACAGCTCCAAGGTTTAAGGTTTATGTATTATGTTATTGTTTATGCATTATGTTTGTTTTTTGTTTATCGTTTAAGTATTTGGGGGAATTTTATTTTATGTCAAGCAACGCCGGTCAAGATCTCACGGTTCCATCATCCCAACATTACTATTTTATCTTGAATTTACTTAGTCTTAATAAGCTGTTAAAATCGTTTAAACTAGAGAATTCTCATTAGCAATTGTAGTTTACCTCATTTGAGTGTTTCTCGTAAATTCAAAAGGGGTGAATTATATTCATTCATTGTTTTGAAAGTGCTTTTTTTTTAAAGTGTGCTTTTGTTTTGCAGGTATTACAAATAAAGCATGCATGATGAAGTAAATTAACAATAAAATAAATCGATAAAATTGCAGTAAATAAACTGTAAATGCGTACTTGACGCTCATGCAACAGCTGCAAGCTTAGTAATATAAACAAGATATATGGTAGCATGCAGGAGATTAAGCAAATCATAAAAGAGTGTGGCACAAAGAAAACCAAAAAAGTCATAGGAAGAACATGAGTAAGTAAAACAAAACCCGATGTCACATATGAAAGATCGAGACTAAGTGTAATCAATTAGTAAAGATGGAGGCTCATAGCTAGATTGTGTGCTTTATTATCCAACTTTGATAAAACCTTAAACCTCGATCCAAGTGGCTAGCCCGTGAAACTTTATAAGTTTTCATCCAATTTTTTTTAATCTTTCATGCATGTAGACTTTACTTGATAGGCAAAAGTAATCATATCACAAAAGAATTTTGTTTTTGTAATGTATGTATATAAGTATTTAACAAAATGAGATGATCCACAAGCTAATCACCCCAATTAGGCTAGGACTACCGGCAGCCTAAGAATGCTAGGGGCAACTTCTACCAAATATTGGTGAATAATACCATAAGTCCTATCCTTTCTCTGGAGCTCTTTGAGGTAGGAGATATTAGTCTAAATCCCACTTTCTATCCCACTCTCAACACACATAAGTGATATTATTATTACCCTCGCCACCTAGACCTCTAACTTGCACTAGTCCGATGATCCATATGTGGCATTAACAAATATCCTCATTTGCTCATAAGAGTTTGAATACCTTATATAAGACTCAAATCCTTAAGCAGTGGGTTAAACTGTAAGATAAGTAGTGTAAGGCATTTTATTGAAATTGTGAATTAACGGATCTCGAATCATTTCTTGGTGAGTCTATATGAATTTAGAGGATGATTTTTCTTCAACTAAGTATAATAAGTTCAAATGCCCTTTTTTATATTCAAAATCTTGCAAAGGTGCTATGGGCATAACCCTAAACAACTTTGGAATCTTCTGGAATATTTCCAGTTCATTTGATCTTATTACTTCGTTAAATTAATCAATCTCAGATTAAGTTAAGATTTAGTTGTGATGTTTTAACATGTGCTCATTGAATTTTGATGTTTTTAATTAACCCATGAGTAGAGCAACTAGTCATTCATTTGATGTTATATTTAAGGATTATAAGTATGTACCCTTAAGGGTAAATTTAATCTTTAAGGAATTTTGTACCCTTTTTTATTGAACTTGAACTTGTAGTGTTTTAAAGGTGTTTGTAATTGATTTTATTTCTTTTCTAAACCTCATTAAATGATTTTAGATTAACCCTAGTTCACTATCAATCACTTAAGTCTCTATGGGTAAATTTGTAATTTAGAAAATGTTAAATGAAATGAACTTATTTCTTGTTAAAAGAATGTATTATCATTTAACCATTGGTTTGGGGCTTCAAATTAGTGATTTATTATTTTCCTAACTCAATCCTCCCATATTAGGTTCATTAAAGACTTAATTGTCTTCCAACCTATAAGAATTTGATTAATTACAATTTGACCTTTTGCCAAAAGTGAAGTGAATTGGTTTCTACCCTTTAACC